GGTGTGGGAGGCTTTAGGGCCCGGGATACAGTAATGCTAGCGTAAGGATGATGGCGAACACACCACTGATTTCACTTCATTCAACAAGATGACACTATAGAACCAGACATTTGAGATTGCAAAAAAAATAACAGGGCTGTGGCTTGATGTGTATGATTCAGAGAACAATTGCGGACAGTGAAAGGGGGTTCAACATGTCGAGGATATCGATGATAGGATTTCATGGAGTGAGTATTGAAGGCTAAGGGGATTACTCAGTCTCATGTAAGAACTATATTGTAGATAATACTTAAGGAGATTACTATATGCAATAATGAGATAACAGTCCAAACACTATCAAAATACAACTCAACCCCATACCAAGCATTGCATTTTGGAAGGTATGGAATGGCTTAACAAGTATCATGAAAAAGTGAGGAAGAGCCCTGTGTATGTCATGGCTATGTGTATGTCTATCAATATAAATCTGTAATCAGACACTTACTGTCCAATCACCCCTCCATGATAGTCCTAAACCCGACAGTGAAGCTTTCTTTCATCACCAGAAATTGGCCCCCAATAGAGCAGGAAATTGCGACAGATTGGATCAAGGCTGGGGTACATACAAGTTGATACAACCCATTCAAGCACCTGCAGGTTTACTCATAGTAACCCTTGCCTTATAACATGATGATGTAATCAAATTAGAGTGCATATCCATGCCAAGGAGACATATGCTGCACTATGGGTCTACTGAGGTTGGTATCTAAATTGGGAGAAAGTGGAGGAATTAAAGAGTGAGAGAACTAAGAGGACAGAAGTAAGGGGGTGTTCAGCATGAGAAGGGTGAAGGCAGCAGGGGGGAGGAAGGGTGGGGTAGCATATGGAGCAGTGTAAGAAGAAATAGGAAAGGCATAGACAAATAAATAGGTGTGATAAAAGGGGAGGAGGTGCATATATGGCATAATGCAGAGTTTCATTTGAATTCCATGAGTGGGAGGCCCTATGCAATGGGGGCTTATTTGCATGTTCATGCCCCTCTAGAGCAATGGGAAAGCAATGGATTCCAAAATTTGAGGCCTGCAATATGATGTGGTTAGTGATAACACATGCCAAATTTCAAGGGTTCAGGTGGTTCATAGCCTGTGGGATCTGTGTGTTTGATTTTGAGGGGGTTCTGTGGTTAGGTACCAAGGAATGATTGGATAGGGGTGGAATTTTGCATGAACTCTCACCTTATAATTCTCATATTGTGTGCCAAATCTTAGAACATAGCTGCTCCATGGCCTTCATAATTGGGTTTTGATCTTCCCCCCCCATGCATTGGAATTGACTGATGTTCTTATATGATTCTCACCCTAATATATTAGAATTATGTGCCAAATTTTGGCCTGATCCATCCAGTGGTTCCTGTCCAGTAATTTCCAGAATTTCTGGATTTAAAAGTACACTCATATATGGTAATTATTTATTCAAGGCTGAACTACATTTGGAGGTCTGGGTTTTTTTTTTCAGCAGGGTCCTCTGAGGGCCCCTTTACCAATCCCCCTCTGGTCATGGGACTAGATTGGGCTGGATGGGTTAGGTACACTTTGGATGTATTTGGGTATTACATAGTTAAAATAAATGCAGACACATGGATCTTTGCATAATATTCCATATATGAGTACTTATACTTATATAACACATGTATATGTGATCTTAGCAAATTGTTGCCACTGCATGAGTCTAGACATGCTTAGACATGTCTATGACTATTTAGACACATCTTGACATACTGTACTGTACCTATGAGCCTTCTCAATCATTGTCTAGGTCCAAGTCCCAATCCTTCCACAGTTTTCTCACAAGCACTCTGACAGCACCCAAATTATTGATATAGACACTATGGGACACCATCCATTCCATGCAACCTGAGTAGGTGCCTACAATATGTACTCTAGACACTACTAGACATTACAAAGTCCAATATTCCAATGGTACCACAACCATTTTCTAGACACCATGAGGCACCTCCTAGTAATGTGTCTTCTCCAAATCATCTCACTAACCTCTGATAAGGTCCAAGGCCAAAAGCAATCCCACTAAGATGTCCTTTGTCATGGTGAACCAATGCACACCCCTTGCAGAGAGGATCAAGGAAGGTAATACTCTGAAGCTAATCTATGGTCAGTCCAAGGTCTACTATTTGTTTGTGCTATAAATGTTTGTAGATGAGGAGCAAGAGAAGAAGAAGTCAAGCAGGGCAAAGGGAAATCCAACTCACTAGCTTCTCTATGTGGGTCTCACAGTGCCTCCTCTTTGGGGTTGTCTGGCTGATTCCATCACATATATGGTTGTCAAAGTCAAGTTCAGGTCAGATTTTGCCCCATTTGGGCAAAACCTGAACTTAACCAAAACCTGAATCTCCTCAATTGGTAAAACCTGAACCTAACCTGAAGAAAACCTATGTTAGGCTCAGGTTTAACCCAGGTTCAAACCTGAAATCATGAGCCCCTTCAGACATGACTGATTTTAACCATAATCCAGAATTATGTAAGCAGGTTCCTTGGTGGAGAAATATGTTACTTTGAAGTGAAGTTAAACATTAAAGCTCATGCAAAGTTTGTATTGACTATAAATGAACTATAGTCAATATAAACTTTGCATGAGGTTTTATGTTTAACTTCACTTCAAAGTAACATATTTCTCCACTAAAGAACCTGCTTACATAATTCTGGAACTTGCCAGAATTGATGACTCATTCTGGATTATGGTTAAAATCAGTGTTCAGCTCAGGTATTTCTCATGTTTGAAGGGGCTCATGATTTCAGGTTTGAACCTCAGTTAAACCTGAACCTAACCTGAACCTGAAAACCCAGGGGCCCAAAACCTGAACTTAACCTGAACCTGACCACAGGTGAGGTCCAGGTTTGAACTCAGGCTTCCAGGGTTGTAACCAAACTTCAGCAACCATATTCAGCCTAGGCTATTAGTTTCAGATCTTAATTAGGGAGAAAACAATATATGTAGGGCCTAAGATGCTCTGTAACACAGGATATCCTAGGGGGTATCTATAAATGAAAACATGATACTTGTAATATCTGGGCCATACAATGTATTACAAATCAAGGCATCAGCTGGCATTATGTAAAGTGCCACCAAGAACCCAGTCACCTATAGCCCTGACATAACCCCACTAGGCTGCAGTCAATATAGCCTATATACTGCAGCAACTCCCCTAGTTGGCTTGCTTGACTGGTCTCCAAGTCTAGTAATAAATTACTAATATAGGTTACATATTGCAGGGACACCCTGTCCACTGTGTGGTGCTGCCATGGGGATACCCTGGTCCCCTTGCTACTGTGTGCTAGTTTTTTTTTTTTTTTACATATGTAAGGCCTCTCTAATTCATGTATCAGAGACCCCTGGGAAGACCAAAATAATGGCTGACTGATTATTAAAGCAGGTTATTTGGGAACATGGCAGCACACAAGCCCTCAGATATAGAGCTATCAGATGCAACATTAGGATCTGACCTCTCACCATCACAGAGGGAGATCATGAACTCTATCTTCACATATACTTATGGGACTGCCACAAGCCTTTGCTCTCAACTACCACAACCACCATATAATATCGAGCCATGTGTACTTAGTTAACCAGATATTACCACAAGTGGTCTGCCTAATTGCTACCTTCATATTCCCTCACTTTACAGTATGGTGCTGGGCTGCCAGAATGACTGGTTTTTGTTATTGTTTATTCAAGGTTGAACTGCATTTGGAAGTCTGGGTTTCATTTTGTCAGTGGGGTCCTCTTGGGCCCATTTACCCATTTGGACCATCTCCCTCTGGTCATGGGACTAGATTGGGCTGGATGGCTTTAGGTACACTTTGGATGTACTTGATGTATTTCTGCATTTGGGTATTACATAATTAAAATAAATGCAGACACACATGGGTGTTTCCACACTAGAGCTAATGATGTAGGCTCTACTATTGGAACAACTCACTTAATTGAGTCTACTATGCTTATCAAGTCCTGGAGCTAGGTGCTGGTGCCTTGCACCAAGCTCAGGGGATAATATTCCACATATGGGTACTTATGTAACACATTTATATGTGACCTTAGCAAATGGTTGCCACTGCATGAGTCCAGCTAGACATGTCTAGATCTACAGTAGATGTGTCTATGTGTGTCTAGGCATGCTTAAGCATGTCTATGACTGGTTAGACACATCTTGACATACCTATGAGCCTTCTCAATAATTGTCCAGGTCTAAGTCCCAATTCTTCCACAATTTTCTCACAAGCACTCTGATAGCACCCAAATTATTGATCTAGACACTATGGGACATCATCCATTCCATGCAACCTGGGTAGGTGCCTACAATATGTACCCTAGACACTACTAGACATTACAAAGCCAATACTCCAATGGTACCACAATCATTTATCTAGACACCATGAGGCACCTCCTAGTAATGCTACCTGAGCAGGACACCATTGGACACTAGTAGACACACTCCACAGTAAGCCCCCATAGACACCTCTAAGGTACCAGAAAATACCTCATTAGACCTATAACACTCTCTGACTGGTCAAAAAACTCTCCCAGGTGGTGCCTGTGGCAAGCTAGTTCAGACATGTCTATATGGTAGGCTTAGAAAAAAATGCCCTTGGGGATACTACTCAGGCATGCCTTAGACATGCCTATACTGAGAATACCTCTTAGGTTTGTGGATGCAAATCAAACCCATCTAAGACATACCTTTTTGAGGGTGAATTACAGTAGGTGGTGCCCATCCCACTCATTGATATCACAACATATGATACCTGTTGTTCTCAGATATGCTGAGAGTGCTTTGGAAGCCTCCACAGCACTGGATACTGAAATGAATGGAATCTCTTGTGCCAGGCATGGTGTCAAAATAGGCATGAATACAAGTTGAAATTACACATAGATGTCAGCTTTGATCTTCCATGAACAGAGATGTTCTATGGTAAGCTCTGTCAATGTTGTTATTTGACTGAAAATTGTGGTGGAACCAGGGTTTTTTGAACCTGGGACCTCGTGCCTTCTAGACAGGTGTTCCACCAGCTGAGCTATCCCCTCCATGGAGATGGAACTTATTACCCAACAAATGTATCTTCTCCAAATCATCTCACTAACCTGTGCACTTCAGGAACTCATGGAGGTGAAATGGTCCAGGAACATCTGATGAGGTCCAAGGTCAAAACCAACTTGACCAAAATGACATTTGTCATGCCAAACCACTCCACACCACTTGCAGAGAGGATCAGGGAGGGTAATGCCCTGAAACTAATCTACAGTCAGACCAATATCTTCTATTTCTTTGCAATCTTATAAATGTTTGTAGATGAGGAGCAAGAGATGATGAAGAAGGCAAGCAGGAAGAAGCACAAAGGGAAATCCAATTCCCTAGCTCTATGTGGGCCTTGAAGTGCATCCTCTTTAGGGTTGTCTACCTGACTCCATCACATACAGTGCACTCTCCCCTCATTCCTACCAAGCCTATGCCATCTCCTAGGGGTATCAAGGGGAGCAATCTTCTGCCTCTCTATTCAGCCTAGGCTATTAGTTTCAGATCTTAACTAGGGGAAAATATATATATATATATATGTGTTGATAAGGCCTAAGATGCTCTGTAACACAGGATATCCTAGGTATGGTTGCCAAAGTCAGGTTCAGGTCAGGTTTTGCCCCATTTGAGCAAAACCTGAACTTAACCAAAACCTGAATCTCCTCAATTGGTAAAACCTGAACCTAACCTGAAGAAAACCTATGTTAGGTTAGGTTCAGGTTAGGTTCAGGTTTAACTCAGGTTCAAACCTGAAATCATGAGCCCCTTCAGACATGAGAAATATCTGAGCTGAACACTGATTTTAATTGTAATCCAGAACAAGTCATCAATTCTGGCAAGTTCCAGAATTATGTAAACAGGTTCATTGGTGGAGAAATATATTCTTTGAAGTGAAATTAAACATAAAACCTCATGCAAAGTTTACATTGACTATACATAGACTATGGATAGTCAATGTAAACTTTGCATGAGGTTTTATGTTTAACTTCACTTCAAAGTGACATATTTCTCCACTAAGAAACCTGCTTACATAATTCTGGAACTTGGCAGAATTGATGACTCATTCTTGATTATGGTTAAAATCAGTGTACAGCTCAGGTATTTCTCATGTCTGAAGGGGCTTGTGATTTCAGGTTTGAACCTTGGTTAAACCTGAACCTAACCTAAACCTGAAAACCTGGGGGCCCAAAACCTGAACTTAACCTGAACCTGACCACAGGTCAGGTTCAGGTTCAAACTCAGGTTTCCAAGGTTTGTAACCTAACTTCAGCAACCATAATCCTAGGGGGTATTTATAAATAAAAACATGATACTTGTAATATCTGGGACATTCCCAGTACAATGTATTACAAATCAAGGTGTCAACTGGCATTATGTAAAGTGCCACCAAAAACCCAGTCACCATGTGACTTGAACCTATAGCCCTGACATGACCCCACTAATAGGCAGCAATCTATATATACTACAGCAACTCCCATACCTGGCTTGCTTGACTGGTCTCTAAGTCTAGTAATGGGTTACTAATATAGATTACATATTATGACCCTGCCCGCTGCATGGCGCTGCCGTGGGGATACCCCAGTCCCCTTGCCCATGCGCGGGGCTCCTGTATTTCCTTTTATATCCTAGTACACCCTCCACGAAACCGTGGGTTTTTTATTTTTACATATGCAGGGCCTCTCTAATTCATGTATCGGAGACCCCTGGGAAGACCGAAATAATGACTGACTGATTATTCATACGGGTTATTTGGGAACGCGGCGGCACACGAGCCCTCGGATATAGAGCTATTGGATGCCACATTAGGGTCTGACCTCTCACCATCACAGAGGGACATCATGAACTCCATTTTCATATATGCTTATAGGACCTTGGCTTTTAACTACTACTACCACTATATAATATCAAACCATGTGTACTTAGTTAACTAGATGTTACCACAAGTGGTTTGGCTATCTAATTGTTACCTTCATATTCCCTCAGTTTACAGTATAGTGCAGGGCTGCCAGAATGACTAGTTTTTGTTATTAACAGCAGCACACATACGGTTGGCGAACACTCCATTGATTTCACAAGGCAAATACTGCGGAACCGGCCATGTGGGATTGCAAAAAAAAAAAAGAAAAAAAAATACACAGGACTGTGGCATGATGCGTACGGTTCAGAGAACAATTGCGGGCAGTGTGAAAGGGGGATTCAACATGTCGAGGATATCGAGGATAGAATTTTCATAGAGCGAGTCGTTTGGATTTACAGGCTGTGCCAAATCCCAGACGCTATGCGGAATAATGGATGACAGGCGCTCTGCTAGCACGTCGATGCCAAAGCTGTACGATGTCCGGGGATACCTATAATAATCCTTGCTCAGCCTATAATATCGATACAAGGGTGCCGTTTCGGGGCGGGGGGAAATAATGACCCCCCCATAGCGAGTCTTGAATCACGCTCACCTGGATTCGATGACATGTTGTACAAGGGTGAAACACGTTTCGTCGTCTATGGCCCACAGGAGCGAAAGCATTGCGAGGCATCGACGCATCGAATCTAGCATTCGTATTCAAGGTTCGTAAGATGAATCACAGGCTGCACAACGTTGATGGCCTACATGGATCCCGATCGAGCGCGACTGCAGACTCTGCTTTCTTCTGTAACGGACCTAAGGGGCGAGGGATTGTAGTTAAACGGTGCACTTCTGCCGGAGAGTACTGTTCTCTCAACAAACCCGCAGATATCACAGATACGAAGATGCCCAAAGGTCGTAGTTCAGATGAGAGTGTGTGGGCGACGTTTCTCTTGCGGCATCGCACAGAGCGATGATTCCTTGTGAAGCTATTGAGCGAATTCGTACCAGATCACACAGAAAGCATCTTTAATCGCGAAGCCGATGGGCCAAGGAGAATAGAGGTGTAAATACTGACGGCGAAAGCTAGACTCATTGCATCCCGAGAGAAAGAGAACCTGGCCCTGAGAGTGGCTTAGAAGCTCAGAAAGGGCTTGAATTACAGCCAACGGCTGAAAGATAGAACACGACATTGCATCATGAAGGGCTGATTGTGTTGTTTGCAAAAATGGCACTGATGGGACGATGCGTCGTTTTGCCGTCCACCGCATACCGCTTATCGTTGATTCAGCTGGCGAAATACTGCCGGACTCGACGTGAGCAGAGGGCGTGATTGGGGGGACAACCATGGAGCGAAGGCGTATGTTGTGGCGTTCGCAGTACGCGGCGATGGTATCCACCGCTTGTTCGCACCCCTCAGCGGTAGAGGCGTCGAACATCAGAGGGACGATCGTCCCAACCCACCGCGGCCCATCTCGCTGATTACGCGCCCTTTTGGTTTGCCAAGGTGTACAGTAAATGAGAGGCACCCGAACTAGATGACGTCCCACGAGGGGTTTGAACGTCTTTGGCAAGAACAAAATAGGTCGTGGGGCCATTGTCAGTGAACAACTGACATGTGCGTACCGTGCGGAAGGCACGCGAATACTGTATAACCGGCCCCAGCAAATTTCAATGATAACATTTGCCCGATACCTACACGTCTTGACCCGTGTGAGAGAGCTGAATTGAGCGTAGGGATGAAGCGGACAGGACGTACCCTCTCCGGCGCCCATGATGACGACTCCAGTGCGTTCAGGGTGAGAATCATAAGCAGGGCGACCCGCTCGCATCAAGACCATGCTCAACGAGATATAAAGTAGAGAATGAATGTCCTCAAGTCTCCAAGCCATCCAGGCGTGTAGCCAAGAGACTATACTGATATACAGATTTAGAAGAGGGTGGTATGCTGGTCCAGAACCACCAAGGGACGAGCGCGCTAGGGGAGAGGACAACTCGCTCTGATCGCGGAGACTCATGGTGGTTGGCGGAGTAACCTTCCCGAACCGAATTGACAGATATCATGCCAAAGGTCTACGAAGTTAGGCACCTGTCGGCTACTCCCAGAAACCTCCTACTCAATCCGTTTCTACCCAAATTTTCTCACGTCCGAGGTGAATCCTGCTGGCCATGGGGAAGGACTTGAGGCATAGAAGCGTCAGTTTCAGCTCTCTGGTGGTTACGGGCTTCAGGTGCTCAAGTGTTTCTGAGATGTTGCCTACTGTTTCTCACGTACCCCATGATCGGCGTGAAGCTGGTGTGGCTTTCTGGCCTAGAATGTCAGGTCGACAACAGCTGAGGAACAAGTGAGAGAATTGTGATGGGGATAGAATGCATGCATCAGAAGGGATCAGGGAATATCTATGAGGGGCCGAGTAGGTATACGATTAAAGGTTTGATACATAGAGATTATCCAGCTCCTTCCTATACTTGATTGTCGCCTCCTTGCGCTTCAACTTGAAGGTTGGGGTGAGCATGCCATTGTCAGCCGTGAAGAGCTCGTTGGAAATGTGAACCCGCTTAACCGTCTCGAAGCTAACATATCAAGATCATTAGGGTCCCATGAACGACAAATGGAATGACCAGAGACAGAACAGAACGTACCCTTTGAGGCCTGCTTTTTGGGCCGCAGCATTCATTGCACCCATTATTTCCTTATAGATCCTTGGATCCGCAACCAATTTATCAAGGGCTGGAATATCCGTCGGCTTCACATCACTTGCGATACTCAATCGCTGCGCAAGCTCCACGAGCGCGACGGGATCAGGAACGACAATGGCGACCAGATGATCACGAAGAGAGTCCCCGTAGACGAACGTGTTAGCAAGGAGCCCGACCGAGCTGTACGTGTTTTCGATCTTCTCGAGGGCGACGTACTCGCCTTGGGACAGTTTCATGATGTTCTGGACAAAGAGGGATAAGCATCCCACCCAACAAGATGTCACAGAGGAAGCAAGAAACCTTGACACGATCGATAATGGAGACTCGGCCGGAACTATCGATCGTCGCAACGTCACCAGTGTGCAACCATCCATCGGCATCAAGTGCCTTTTTGGTGTTTTCAGGATCTGAAAACGTGTTAATCCCACCAACAACGGACTCTAGATCAAGAGAAATACCTTTATAATATCC